GTGACTATTTACAAATAGCAAAAGCATCATATAGATCACAATGAAAAGCCAACTAACCTTGAGCAGAAGCTTCCCTGTCCCCAATACAAAACCCGCATCAGTATTACCAATGCCCGTAGCAAACTGACCAAATGCTCCAGCAGTACAAGTGTGAGAATCAGTACCCAGAAGAACCTGCAGAAACAGAATGAGTTTAACAAAGAGGGAACCAAAATGCTGTCAGCCACCAATTTTTTCATTGTAGATCAACCAAACCTCTCCCGGCCTGCAATGGCCTTCCTGAGCAAGAGCAACATGGCACACACCTTTGTAATCTGGGTTTGCCTGCACAGTTATAAGTACACCTTCAATTGCCATGGCCATAACAAATTACCATGAGCCTTCTAAGAATCCAAAATAACAAATTGATATTGAAGAAAATAGCAGCATACCTTAAAATTACTCAAGTCTTTAATATCATAAAAGTACTTGATGTTTTGCTCCTGGCAGAAATCTCTTAAAATGTCCACATTACGATTGGCACGTTGATCACTTGTGAAGATGTAATGATCAGGAATTATAACCACCTTTTCACGATCCCAAACCTTGGATTGCAAAACAAGATGCAGTCAGGAATCCTATAAAAACATTCTTTGATTATTCAAATAAGCATAAGCATGAGCATAAAATTTGGAGTAAAAACGTCAAGCAAAAAAAAATTTATTGCTTCCATCTTCTGTGAAAGAAAATTTACCGCTCCAATTTTTTGTTTTTGTTTTTTTTTTTTTTTTACAATGAACAGCTGAATAGTTATGTCGTGGTTTAGACGAACCCTATAATGACAAATCTGGCGCCAAATGACAAGTATAAAATTTCTTTTCTTGAAATGCTTCAATTATTATATTCGGCCCTCTTCATATTTTCTGAGACAAACAAATTCATCCATCCCCAAATCACTCTTTAATTTCAATGGCATTGACAAAAACATAACACTGCATAGCAATTCTAAGATTAATCCGACGTAACTTCTCAGTCAAGTCTATAATCTTTACAAACAAATTATCAATCAGACATATTGGGTAACAGAAAATAATTACCTTTGCGTTCTCACCGAATTCTTTCTTGAAAATTCCGATGGAACCTGGGCCACATACATCATGGGTCATCAAAATATCAACATTAACCCAAACATTGTCCCCTGGGCTCAACTGGGGTTTCTCAGACGCCCTAGCCAAAATCTTCTCGGTCATCGTCATCGCTGTCTTGACCTGCAATCGATCATACCAGCCACGAATTACAAACTATGGTCTAAAAAACCATAAATCGAAGAGCACGAGCGATAATGAAGCAACAGAACTGGTCCAGTGGTGGAAGGCTTGCGTTCCGATTGCTGAGGAGCTACAACCGAACAAGCAATTCTCTTCGAAACAGCTTTCTGACATTTCCGAGCGGAAAGGGGTGACATCGAAGCGAAAGCGCAGAGAGCCAAATCTTTCTGAGGGACAGAAAATCAAGACAACCATGAGTCTGAGCATATTTAACCGGGTGAATGAAAAGCATGTGTTGAATTCGGGGGAACGGGGCAAATAGGAAGTAGTCGACCTTGCTGTGGGAAAAGAGAGTGGAGGTAGGAGAAAAGACCGAGGAAGCCATATTTGTGACGTGGCTGATAGTAAGTTTTCTTAGATCTCGTCCCAGAGAGTTCCGAAGAGCTATGTTCGCTTCAGAGGCGGCGGCTAAGAGAGAGAGTAGCATACAATGAAGGGATTTCCTCTCTGCTTTATTTTGTCAATTGTCGTTTTGGCTTAAACCGTATGAACCCCGAAGTCCGCGGTCCAAAAAAATTAAAGAAGAGGAACTGTGATTTTCCGTCGGATGTTCTTTCCCATGTGTATAGCGGGGCTTGGTGGATTTGACTTCTGGGTGAGTTCAGATGATAATGGTGATAGTGCGAGAGATGATGTGTCCTGCTAGAGGATCCTCTAAACAGCAACCTTAGGTTTTCCGGAGGGTGACAAGTTCTGGGTTTGAAAATGAAAATGAATGTTCTGAAAATGGTCCTCCTTTTTGATATACGGTGAAAATATAGTTGTCAAGACTCTCCAAGCGTAACGTTCTTGTATTTTTAATTTATAAAATCATATAAATTCATTCATATAAGTTAAATATGAATTTAATTAAATTTATAAATTTATTTTTAAATTTATCATCTTTACTTTTTTAATTTACAAAATTATATTAATTAATTCATAAATTTATACTAAATACAAATTTAATTAAATTTATTAAATTTATTTTTTTTAATTGAGTGGGTTAAATATATACTATAAAAAATTTAATTCATAAAAATTGTAGGATCTAATTTTAAAAAAAACTTAAAATATAAAAAATAATATTAATAAAAAAAATAAAAATACTAAAAATAAGTTTTCTTATTTTAAAATTTTTATGTTTTGTATATGATAATTTATTAAGATGAATTTAATTTTAATAATTTTATATTTTTATTATATTTAAATTAAATTATGATCATATTTATATTTTTATGAGTTTATAATTTAAATTTATAATATGAATTTATATTCTTATCATAAATTTATTTAAACTCATGAGTCTAATAACCTTACAGTGAAATCACACCGTTGGTCGCAGGTTATAATAGTAATTAGCTGTATTTTAATTTTTAATTAATTTATTAAAAGTATAGCTTTTTTTATTAGGAACTTTTTATATTTTTTAAATAAATATTTGTGGTAATTACCTTACTCCCTAGGGATCAACCCAAAAAGTTTTGTGCAAGAAAATGCATTTTTGATTGATGATAAATATTGAGAGAATGACAAATAATTTTTCTTCAAATATAAAAATAATAATTTAGTTTCGGCAAAATGCAACAATTTTTTTAAATTGTAAAAGATTTAATTATTATTAAAGATTTCGATAAAACAATAAAAATATCACATAATTAAAAAATTAAAACAAGTGAAAAAAAAACTTGTGAGCAAAAATTGTGAGTGTTTAAATTACTTTAATCATTTATTAAATCAAACTTGTAACTTTCAAAATCAAGGTTATGAAATAAAAAGAAAAAAAATTACACTTTGTTAATTGAAAAAAATGATAAAAAATTATAAATATTTAAACTATTTTAATCATTTACTAAATCAAAATTATGAATTTTAAAGCTAAAGTTGTGAATGAAAATTTTTTATTGCACTTAGTTGATTGTAAAAAATTGATAAAAAAATTGTGAATGCTTAAATTGCTTTAATTATTTATTGAAACAGAATTATAAATTTTAGAACTAAAATTAAAAAAAACTTTAATGTTCTTTTTTAAATTAAGGGATATTTTTTCATTTTATCAAAATTTTAATAACAATTTAATCCCTTAAAATTTAAAATGCATTATCACATTTAGAATGATCAAATTGTTATTTTTTATTTTGGAATGATTTATTTGTCATTCTCCTATGAATATTTGGAAAAATCTAGATCCCATGAAAAAATTATTATTATGATGTCTCATATAATGTATAAAATACTTTTAAATTTTAAACCTTACATATTTATAATGTAATTAAGGACATTTACAGTCAGTTATTTAGAACTCATTATTACAAATTATTTTTTTTTCATAAGTTGTAAATAATAGTTGGCCAATTATAAATGTTTTTAGTCAAATTATAAATGCGTACTCCCCCATTTCTATTTATAAAAGAGAGAAATTATATTATACAATTTAAAAAAATTAATTAATTATATTAATTGTGTCTTAAAATAAAAATTAGACTATGATACCCTTTATTAATTAGATTGATCAAGCCTTCATTAATTGTTTTTTATGAATATGAATGATAAAATTATGAGAGATAATTTAAAAAGTTTACAATAAATTCTTATTAAAAATATAATTTTGCTTATATAAAAAACAAACTAATTTCTCTTATAAAAAAAACGGAGGGAGTAAGGATTTAAGATTTGAAAATATTTTGTGAATTTGATGGTACATTTCTTTCAATAAGATCTAGGTGTAACTTTTTTCTAAATATTTTTCTTCTGTTATTATCAAGGTTGTTAAATTTATGAATTTAGATAAACTTGTGATAGGAATGTAAACTTATATTTTAAAGTCAAACTCAGATTGTATACTCGTAAGATTTTACTTCTATTAACAAATAACCATTAATATATGATTGTAATTTAATTTGAATATATTTAAAATATAAATTATTGAAATTAATCTCAGATACATTGATAAATTATCATATACAAGACATAAAAATTTTAAAATATAGGAACTTATTTTTGATATTTTTATTTTCTTTTTTTATTAATATTGATTTTTGCATTTCAATTTTTTTTTAAATCAAGTCTTATAACTTTTATGAATTGAATTTTTTATAATATACAATTAACTCGCTCAACTCAAAAAAAAATAATGATCTTAATAAGTTTAACTAATCTTGTATTTAATCTGAATTTATGAATTAATTGACACGATTTTATAAATTAAAAATGTAAAAATAATAAACTTGAAAGTAAACTCGTAAATTTGACCAAATTTATATTTAATCTAAGTTTATGAGTGAATTGATATGATTTTATAAATTAAAAATATAAAAATATTAAATTTAAAAAATTAACTCTAAAGTTTGACAATTATGATTATTACACTTTCTTGCATTCTCAGTGAATGCCCTTGCTAGAGCATTTCTTGCATTTTCTCTTTAAAATTTATTTTTGATAAAATTCTCTCTTCAAAATTCTAATCATTCTCCCACAAGGCAGGAGTTATTTTTCTCCGAAGTTGTCATACTTTAAGTCTTTAATATTTAATTTTGACAAAAAAATCTTTAATATTTAATATTTGATAAATATATTTGCTGGCAAAAAATGTTTCATAAATGTATTATTGTTATTATTATTATTAAGAATTTTTCCTAGAAAATATATACCAAGCCTCCAGTATTTTGTATGTTTCATTAATTACTTAGCCACGGGTACTTTGTTTTATTAATACTTATTACCCCCTACGAAACACAATCTCGCCCGGCAGAAGAAACAGATCCATTTTTCTCCGTCGACGAACAAGCATTCCGCACTTGGTCGAGCTCACCGTCGGACGCCGTCCACCGTTGTCAGCCCTTGTGGTTGTTCTCTGGCAGGTATTGAAGAAGGTTCGAACGCTAGGGCTTTGTCTTCTCCCTGTTGTGTCATTGATTTGTTCAACCTGGCTTTGAATCTAAACTTGAATTTGTCCCCTGCGTGGTTTTCAGACATTTATCGGATGCCGTCGCACTATTCATTGCTCTGTTTTGAATTTTTCATTTTAATTTAGCTTTGAATCTAGTCGTGTAATCGTTCAAATATCGATTTGAATCTGGGAATGTTTACAGTTGAGTTTATATTTTTGTAACTTTGATTGCTAGTCTTTGCTTGAATGGTGTGTAATTTGACTGTTATACTCCTGCCCTCTTCGTTTTGATTTTTATCGACTTATTTGCTTTGGATTGTTATTGCACAATGTTGGATTTGTTGTGTACTGGCATTCTGTTTATCTTATAAGCTTGAGTCTAAACCATTTCCTGCCGCTCACTGGTCTGTGAATTTAGAAGCTATTGACAGAAACATTCAAATTGCGCACCTTACTCTAAGCAACACCTTTCAAGATCATAAATTGCTAAATGAAATAGGAAGAACATAAATTGCAAGTGTTATCATGGTCATTCTTCAGTGGCTTGGAGGAGTTACGTGAATCAGTTGGCTTACTAAGGCATCTTTCTTAAAGTATCTGGAACAAAAATTAGACGGGTATGTCAACTATGGATATTTCAAAGATTTCAGCGGGGGCAGATATCCCCACTGAGTATAATATAGGTCCTTCTACGGTTATATGTCAGAATCTGCTGTTCTAGTGATATGGAAAAGGAATGAATTGAATGGTAAAATAGCAACATAAAAAAAGGTCATATCCATTCAATTTATCAATAATAGGCATGTCTCTGAAAGACTAGAGGCCTCTACCAGAATAAGAAATTTTCATACCATCAAAAATGTTTTCCTTGCTTTCATGTAAGCCTTTAATTCTAGAATTTATCATTTCATCCTTAACTGTTTATATTGTTAAGTAGGTAGCTATTTTGCTGTCTCATATCTTTCAATTCCATGATTAAGTTTTTAAATGTTGATTTTCTCTTGCTAACGGGTTCCTGTTATTTTTCTTGATTTATATTTTTCTATGGTATTGTAATGTGAGCTTATGCAAGAAATTATTTTACTGAAGGTTTGTTCTGAGCTCAAAATGTTTGAGATCTGATACAAACCAACTTGTTTGTTGTTTTAAGGAGTTATAACTTTGTGATATAAAGCTACTTTTGAGATTAATATTAAATAGCTTTCTACAGTTCTCATTGATGAGATATCTTTGGCGTTGCATGTATTTTTGTGTTCATCATGCATGGTTTCATATCTTATTGCTGATCGAAATAAAATTATAAGAATTCTGCCATTTGATTCCATGGAACATGCATAATCATTGGTAAATATTAGTTGACAGCCTTGAATAAGCCTTTGAAGTGGATTGGGTAAGATGAACCATAACCCACAATCAAGTGAAGGCAGGCATGATGATGATGCTGCACTATCAGAATTTCTGGCTTCTTTAATGGATTACACTCCTACGGTAAGTTTCTTTTATTATGAATGACCTGATCAAACTTCATTAACTTGCTCTATATTCATTCATTGGAACATCTAAAGCTCATCACTAACTCCTTTCTCTTTTTTTCCGTATCTCTGATAGATACCAGATGAATTGGTGGAACATTACTTAGCGAAGAGTGGCTTTCAATGTCCTGATGTTCGATTGTAGGTACTTCTAATTTTATTTTTTTTGGAAGTTAATTTTCTTGTTAATGCCACTTAGATATTGGTTACATTAGCTTTTTTTTTTTTTTGTCACAAAGAGAGTGCTTTACCATCTGTTTATGGGTTTTGACCTGACATGACTCACTGAAATTTGTGCATCTAACTTCGGATAAAGTTAATTTTCGATCAATGACTTTTTGCTCACCTTATTAGTCCTATCTTTTTCCAAATTGGACCATTATTACTTTTATTTCCAAAATAATGTACAGTTCAGAAAGGAAATAAGAGGCAGACAATATGATATATATACTAAAGTATCAGACAGTTGAGTTACATTCAAAATCAACATTTTTTTAGAAAAAGAATTTATTGATGATGAAAGAGAGTAATGCATCAAATACTCCAAACTTGAGCTCTTATTGGTTATTGAAGTTGCACAATCTAGTTGGATTGGTTTGGGGTTTCATAATTGCTTTTATTTAAAGTGGAAATTGTTGAGTGATGATATGTGATTAATTTGGATGTTTGGGCCCTTAATCACTTGTTCATATATTCTCGAGTTCAGTTGACCCTTTTTTTTTGTTTGGTACAGAACTAGACTAGTAGCTGTTGCAACCCAGAAGTTTGTGGCGGAAGTTGCCAATGACGCCCTTCAGTATGCTTATTGAGCCATTATTTTTTTTTTATGTTTTTCATGTCTATTATGGGCTTAAGTTTTCTGCCTAATAGAATCGGGTTATTTCTAAGTTTAGAATCTCGATTTTTGGTTTTTGGAGATTTGCATTATGAGATGTAGTTGTGCTATTAGTAGCTTTTTTTTTTTTTCACAATGTTATGGGTAATTTAATCTCTAAAATGTTTGTGCTTGATTGATGACGTCAACAGAGTTTAATTTCTGCTGCCTTCTCTTGTAGGCATTGCAAAGCAAGGCAGGCAACAATTCCAAAGGACAAAAAGGATAAGCAGCAGAAGGTCCTCAACTGGTGGTTGCAGTATTTTTTGTCTTCGCTATTCTTACTTCTTGTTATATATATATGTCACTGTGTCTTGTACATCTTGTTTGCGCAGGATAAGCGCCTAACATTGACAATGGAGGACCTATCAAAGGCGCTGCGTGAGGTAAGAACTGGTCTCTGCATTTTGGTGAACTGAGATTTGTCTGTTCTCATTGTGAGACCCATGGGGATCTGACTTGTACCAAGTTGTGCTATTTCATTAATACCCAAACTTTTTGCAAGCTTGCTGTCCCAAAAATTAAATATTTATACCAACAAACTTGTCTAATCAAATGAACTTATACTGAACTGAGCCAAACCTGAGTTTTTGGCCAGTTGAATACCCAATTAACCTGCAATTTGTCGGCTTCTTGAGCTAGATTAGTTACTGATTGGGTACCATTATTCGTGATCAACTGCAAGATTCACTAATCCCCAATCTCTCTTCTGTTCTCATTTGTTGTGAGCAGTACGGTGTAAATGTAAGGCACCAAGAATATTTTGCTGATAGCCCTTCAGCTGGAATGGATCCTGCTACACGAGATGAATGAGCCATTAATTGTCTTAACAAATCATCAAGGCTTCTCGGCTGCTTATAGCTTAGTAAATACCGTCATTTGGTAAGGTGGATTTGAGTCTAAAGTCCACGAATTTAGTTGAATAGTTTCGAGTTCTGAACGTTCGATTTATAAACCATCGTGTACATTCTGCTTTTAACTAGAAGTAGAAGATAGAAGATAGAAATATATTTGAAATACGTTGTTATTAATTAGGATTTTTTAAACGTCATTTTGTTGACTTGAGAAGCGCAACCTCTCATCACATATTTCGTGTTACAATCACTCGCTAGGTTTTGTTTTGTTGGCGTGGAAATAGTAATAGAATGACCTTTGAATAAAATATTATAATGATGACGACGTATTCAGGAGTTTTTCCATGGTTTAGAATAAATTGAAATCCAAGTTTGCAAAAAAAGACACTATAGTTCAATAGTTTTTATTTTTATTTAAATATTTAGAAGTTATTTTAAAATAAATGGCATGAAATGAAACAAAAAATTTGCCTTGCCATTATCCTTCATCAAACTTAGATGAAAGGATGTGATTATTGATTTAATTTTCTTGTAAACTTGACAGGGTTAGGAGGAGTTCAGTGTGGTAGAGAAAATTACCTGGGACCTTCGTGATATAGGGTAGGCACTAGGCATGTGATTTGAAATTAAGAGCATGTTTAGTTTGTATTCATTTTTTGCTTTGGAATTGTTTTGCAATATAATTTTGAAATAAAACCCAAAAAAAATTAATTTTAAAATAATTTTAAAATTAAAAAAATTAGATGATAATAGTGATTACTCGAGGTTAATAGTAATGATTTATAATAATTTTGGTCAATTGTAATTTTAAATAATCAAATATAATGTTTTTTGAAAATAAACAAATAAAACAAAAACAATTTTAAGATTTTTTATTTTTTTATTTTTTAAATAAAATAATAAGAACAGTTTCAAAAATCATTAAATTTAAAATACTTATTTTGAACAAATTTTAAAAAAAACAAAAAAAAAACTGTTTTTGAAACCCAAATCTTTATGGATCCTTTACCAAAATTCGTTCATATGTTTTATTTATTTTCTCATGCAACTGTACGTCAAACCTAAATGATACAGTTATAAACTAAAATGTTGCATTTTATAAAATAAAATTATATCTAAGTTGTTAAAGGGGTTAAGCCGTTAAAAGACAAATCTTTCCTTATAGGTCAAACAGTGCCTGTAATTTTAAATTTATTTTTTATATAATATTTTTTTAACGTTTTAAATCGGTATAATATTACTTCCATCGTTAGTAAATATTATTTTTTAACTGTTAATTAATTAAACAATTATAAAAATTGACTTCAAAGGGCAAAAAAATTTATATACAAGTTATTTAAGTCTTCCTATTCTAATTGTATGTCAAAGTTAACCAACTTCACATTTCTTAAAAAAATGCTATTAATATTCTTAAACTTGTAGAAAAATGTTTGATATTTTAATTTTGTCATTCACTAAAATTAATTATTACAATAAACTTTACCTAGGAATTGCAACTTGATGCAATTGTGGAGAAGTAATATTAAAACAAGATTGACTATTACATTTTTCTTCTTATATGTAAGATCAAAGAAGACTTTAAAACCTTGTCTTCAAATTAAGATGGGGGAAAGTAAATGTTAAAATTTCAAAGAGACATATACTCTCTTTAAACCACAATATAGGATATTAGTAATTACTTCATAGTTTTAAAAATTTATAAAATTTTAATCTCTTAAAAATTTGACATCTTTTCTGTTATACTTTTATTAAATATCATGGATGAATGTCTTTGATTTTGGTCTTTGTTGGTCCAAGATTCTAGAATTTAATTGAACGCAACTTCTTTATGGTGGTCCCATACGGGTTACTTGCACAACAATATATTGCTCCACGCTATAGACGGTTCAAAATGGGTATGCCGGCAACTTCTGGTTCAATAATCGTTCGATTCTTTTCTCTGTTGACTTGTTCCGGAGAAGAAGAAGAAGAAGAAGAAAATGTCTCTGCAGTCTGCAGCATGGGTGGATTCTATTGTTGCTGATATCACAAATTTATTCAAAAAAGGCATTCAAGGGACCAATCTTCCATAAAGATTAAAGCCGAGCATCGTATGTAGAGCTTGCACATTGATTAAAGAAACATAATTTTTTTTTATTTTAAAGTAAGAATATTATAATCATTAAAAAATTACGTCAGAAAAGTAAGACTTAAAAAAGTCATTACATTTTACATCATCTTATTATCATTTATATATTTTAAGGAAATTTTTCTTTCAATCTCTCACAGATTTTTGCATCCTTTGCCAGGAGGAAAGGGGGGGGTTTGTTTTTAAGAAAATTAAAAAGAAGGCCGATAAACTGTCCAGAGAAGTTGACTTTCTCACGGGATCAAAGAAAGTCAGAATGTTTTTGAACTTTATGATAAACATATGGTCTGATCAGTTTTATATGACCCTGATTCACATAACATGCGGAAAATTAAACCCTTTTTTGGGCGACAACAGACACCTAAAATTTGTGCTGACGATATATATAGTACATTTTTTCAACCTAAAAAAGCATGTTTGATCCTCACGAGTTAATGAAACTTAGGTGCTGTTTGTTAGAGCTTAATCCTAAAAATGGAAATGAAATTGGGTTAGGAAATTTAATAAAGTAATGTTTGGCACATATAAATTAGAACTCCCATCAGGGGTAAAGCCAGAAAATGTTATATATAACAAAGCATATATGATCATTGAAAAACAATTTATATATATATATATATATCATTAACGTAACTTAAATATTTCAATATATATATTTATATTCAATTTTATAAATATATATATCTTCATTGATTTTTCATGATATAAAAATAATTAATTATTATATCTATGCTAAATATTTTTAGCAATTTTATTTTCAATATAAATTACCATTAAGTTGGTAAAGATTTTACTTTCTCATGAGCGTTAAATGGTTTAAATGCATGATCAAAATTTAAATTTTTGTTCAATCTAAAAAATTCTATTACTTATTTATTAAATTTATTATTTAATTATTTCAATTGATAATTATAGTAAATAAATATATCAACATAATAATGATCCTCTGTTGTCACAAATTTTTTTTGTCAATGACATCTAAATATATCATAGTAGAAAACATTCATATAATAAATTTTAATAGATTAGTTATTACAAAACATTTTTTTAAAGAATATATCTTAACCACAATCTCTTAATTTTTGGATAAATAATTTTATAGTAGATATCAAGCATATCATTTAATATATTTTGATATTTTTGTTGCAATGCTTGATAAAATTTATTAGTAATAATTCTTATAATTTCTTACATCAAAAAAATGAAGCCAAAATTGAATGATATCTATGCTTAAAAGCACGTGTAGCATTATCTCGTTAAAAATAAGTAGATCTTATAACAATTATGTCTTTAAGCTATTAAAACAGTTAAACTATACAAGTATAAAAGACTATATATAAAATTGAAATAAGAATTCTATATAGTGTTTTAAGATTTTTATAATGTACTAACTTAAAATGATCAAAAATATATAACTCCTGTATTTTATAAAAACAAAAAAACAAAGTTAAGGAGACATGGCCTTTGTTAGTCTCCCCTGTCTCCACCCCTAACTCTCATGAATCCTGATTTCATGAAAAAATTTTGAATTGAATTCCTTAATTAAAGTCATGGAATATGGATTAGTTCTATAAATTTTATTTTTAACCTATAAATCATGTAAGCCCTAAGCCCCTAACTCCGGATGGCACAAGCAGAGCCAAAAATATCAAGAAGCCAAACCTTTGCAAGGGACAGAATGGCCCTTAAGCAAAGACTAAGCACGAATCTGTCTCGATCTTTAGTGCTAGATGTTTCCAGTGTTGTTATTGCTTCACTCTTGTTTTATTTTATTTTCCTTGTGTATTCTCTGTAAGTAATAGTATTATCGTGTATTTAATATTTCATTTATATACTAAATATGTGACAAAATTAAAACTCAATTAAACTTCTCATATATTTTTATTTTTTTAGGAGTATTTTTATCTTTTAAATATAATTCTATCTCCATATCTCACCTACCAAATAAAAATAATACAAAGATCTCATCTATTTTTTTTAACATATTAAGTATATTTTTGAAGCTCAATTTTATTTTAATTTTAATTTTAACTATTCAATCATGCCAAATAAGATTTTAGTATTTATTTATAATTTAGAAATGTTGGCAAGTAATTCTCTCGTAAGATTCTACCAACCCCCACCATACGACGGTTACCTGCTTCTTTGTGTGTTCTCCTTGCTTTGGGAATTGGTTTTCCATGCTAATCATACGACCATCCGGATTCACAAGTTTTATTTTATTTTTATTTAATATTTATTAAAATAAAAATTATAAACATTTTAATAAATCTACCTTATCCGCTATCTAGATAATACATATTTAATATGAATAATTTAATTTTTATTTTTGATACAAAAGAATATAATCACCGTTCAATTTAATAATAAAATTTTTATAATTTTTATAAATTTACTACATAGGTGTATGTAGAATAGTTTAAATTTAACATTAAATTTTTTATTTTAAAAATAATATTATTAAAAATAAAGATAATCTCTAAATTGATACTTTAAAAAATTTAGAAAAAAGTTGTGAGTTAAAAATTTTAAAACCGAACCATTCAAGGCAGTACTGTATGGTTAGTTTATAAAAATTTAAAAAACAGTCCAATATTAAATTGGGTCATAAGATTAAATTTATGTTATTCAAATTGATAATAACATAAATTTATTACTTTTTATTTTAATAAATATAAAATAAAGATAAAATAAAACTTGTTAATTTGGACCATCTAGATCTAAATTGCTCATAACACGATGAGCATCACATGCAATTAACACTATTGCTTTAGTGTCAAAGTTTTTTTTTTTTTTACCCACAAAGTTATTATTATAATAGTAAGTAAATATTATAAAATTATTATTTTAATATTTAATAAATAAATAATTTTAATTTATTAAAGATTGACCTGGACAGTTTAGCTATAAATCTTAACCTGAATAGCTTAGAACTATATTGAAAAATAAAAAAATAGCCTGAACAATTTAGGATAGTATTTGGGTTTAGTGAAATAAACTAGTTTCTCATAACGTGACAAATCGGTGTTTAAATTCATGTCAAGAAAAGAGCCTGTATTTAATACTCAATTGTACCTTGAATGATA